TGCCAACACTGATGTTGCTGTCTTTGATGATGATGATGATGATGAAGCAGCACTTTCTTTGTTATTATACAGTGAATAATATCAGGAATCGAATGCCGAAGCATAGTTCTCTCGCTTAACTGCCTGCAAATTCTCAGGCCACTGAGTGTATACAAGAGAGAATCTTGATTCGGGCAAAGCACATCCTAAAACATGTCCATGTAAGTGCATATGATATATAGATTGATAACGGCGCATTCCACACCACGTGAGGACTAATACATCCTGTGGTTGACGATTCTGAAATTTCTGTTATCAGGTTCTGTGGGATATGTATTCTGTTCGTATTCACACCCCTCTCGTTTGAATGGTAGTTCTTCTGTTCTGGCGCTGTTATTCCGATGAGCCCACACCAAAGGGAAACAATGGACTCGAGTTTCGCTCATCCAGTGGCCGTGCCGGGATATGAACCCCGGACATGTGGCATGCGAGGTGCGTGTGTAACCACTACTCCACCAACGCACGTTGGACGCATCTGAATTTTCACATCTTAACAGGCGAAAAGTGTTCACGCTTGAGCGAGGCGATTGGTGTGACCGGTACATCAAACGACGACTCAGTAACTCCTGGTTTTGATGACCGATTCACATTCCTGTCAGGACTTCGCATTCAAATAGCTCCAAACAGTTTTCGTTCTACCATCACAGCTAATAAACGACGGAATTCGCGTTATATGAAAGTGAATGATGAGCAGAGCTACGGACCCAAATTCACGTTACTTTCTTTCGACTAGTCCCTGCACTGTCTTCGAGCACTTATTATGGCTGATCATTTACATCACGTGGGTTTCACTTTTACTGAGCTTGTTAGCTCTAGATAGATGGCCTTAGACACGTCACGATTTTGACTTTCGGACACCTGGCAAATTAGGCAGGCATAGTAAGTGCATTCCAGCAGAGCACGTTGGAACCAACTGAATTAGCATTCCGGAACGGCCAAGGACTTTGACTGCTGGTGACCCTAGTCAGTGATTCCCAACTTGAGTTTGGACTAGCCGGAATAATAATGTTGAGAAAGAAGGCGTATTTTTCATGTGCGAGCGAGTTGAGTGCCGGTTCTTAAAATCCTGCAACATGTAGAAATGGTTGTTTCGGTGTATTGACCACACTGGAGTTATCGTAATCAATGACCTTGAATAATTTATACCAAAAGAGGCAAATTTTAGGGAGCAAGAATGTCAGAAAAAGTCAACAAGAACAGTCGTTGTGTGATAATGTTCAGTTGCACTTCCGACTAGTTGGAGGGAAATCCATCACTGATCCGGAATTCATGTGGTGAATGCGTGAGAGGTTGTTCGTTTATGTCGAATTTTCTTAATGTGAAATATCTAGTAGATGAAATTGTTTTATCTCATTCGGAGGTTTCCTCGTGGGAGAATAACGTAGTGAGTAAAAAACCTGTTCAGCTGTGGTACTCTCCCGGTGCCTAACTGTCATGCCACGAGGGCTGGGATACTGCCATGTTATCCAAGCATAGATAGGGGAAGTCGAGAGGCAGAGGTCGGGTTCAAACCACGGATCTTTCGGCCAGTAAATTCGCGCTCTAACCATTTGGGTCATCTCACCCATTCAGGGGGACGGTTTTGCCCGCCCTATTTTTCCGAAGAAAGTTCCGTGACATGATACAGGGCCTAGTTTAGTTGATTGAATACTTCTCACTGCTTTGGAACCATTCTTGAACAGTTTCAAGTTAGCAAATTCGGTCTACTTACTTTGGAGTTGTACAAATTCCAGTGACCTTGACTGTCATTGGGCACTTCCAGGTAGTCTGTTCAATGTCGCCATTTTGTGCGTCCTCACTCAACAGCGGTGTGGCGAGGATTTGAAATGAATCAGAACACCATGTGTGACCATAAGTGGGCGCGAACTGAATCGATAACTCAACAGATTCCTTCAACTTCAAACGGTCCATAGAGCTCAAAAACTCAAAAGGCCCAACGGGGTTCAGTGGCGTAGCAGATAGCTGTAGTTGAAGAGAGACAAATGTGACAATAAGTTTATGAACTGAGGCGGATGGCTTTGTCATCGAATTCTCGGGAACTGGATCACTAGGATCCTCGATAAAAACGCATCCGAACCGTTTCGGAGAAGTGATGAACCGTCCAGGGTAGAGTCATCTTAGAAACAAACACCATCCCAAGTCCGTACAAATAAATCATACACATTTCTGACCATTCCACTTAACAACTGGCCTCCTAAAAATGCGCGTTTACACAACTCTTTCACCGACAGTGCATCCTGGCTTTTGCTCTCTGAACAGTCCACTTAAAGTGTCTGGCCTAATGTACCCTCTTCTGAAGGAAAGCAACAGGACTGAAACAAGACAAAATACGTTGATACAAGTGTTCTTTGTTTGATACAACTTCCAGTCACACATCCTTAGACTTTATACTTTCTTTGAAGTAAACCGTACTTTTCTAAAGTCGTTTTCAAGCGCTAACAATCAAGGTCAGTTAGGTCATTGGGGCCTAAACATTACAGTGAAACTGATATGAGTGGTTTATCCGCACTATGCCAACAAATCAAATCGGACTCAAGATGAACTTAGGTCTCGAACTACCCAGCACACAGGACTAAATCGTACCGATAAGTCTGGTTGAGGTCAGAATGAAGAAACAGTCGGATACAGCCGACTGTATCTAATATATCCCAGTGCCATTTATACAATTAAAGCATGCAATAACAAAGAGCGTTGATTTCATTTTCGTCCACAGAAGAATTTGCAATGAGAACAAGGAAAACTTGTTACGATGTGAACGGCCATAGAGGATAACCTGTCGACCACTTCTAAAGGGATCTCCGACATATACATGCCTCAAGAAAGGTCTGATTCGAGAAACGATCTCTCCAGATGACTTAGAATTCAGTGGGAGATTTCGGAGATAAACCGTGAATGTTACGTCTTGTCAGATAGGTACAGGCAGGTCGGGTTTACTAGATTCAGGTTACCATCTTTAGACCATATGATTAGTGAGCGATTTCCTGGTGCAGAAAGCTGATTGCCTGAATAGTCTAAACAAGGTCTCGCTTTTTATGAAGAGCATTTCAGGTTTTGAGCTGCACAGGTTCGTTAAAAACGTGTTTATTCAAATTATTCATAAAACTAAGTTCCCCACGGTGGCCTATCACAAAAGCAATGTTAGCTGAGCTTGGTTAGTTCAGTGCTTTCCGGGAAATAACTTTTTTCTAGGGTGGGGGTATTAGGATAATCAGCTCCGAACGTAACGGGACTACATAACAGCCAATGGAATAACCGTTTTCATTCAGACAGATTTCATTGGTTATTCTTCATTTGCCCTTGACAGATGAGTTGTATTCTTAGTACCCTTTTTTTGACCCGCTTGTGCGCGACAGTGATCAATAGATCAGCTGACTCGCACATTCGTTGACTTTTTGTGGTTTGGTCAAGCGCACCAGGCGTTCAGGTGGCTATCCAGACCGGGGGACCACAGTTAAGGAAACTCTGGTCCACAACAGGGCGGGACGTTAAGGAATTGTACTCTGCTTACCATTCTGAGAACAAGTGACTCAATAACCTCAAGCACCTTAGTTAGTTATTAGTTCAACTCACCAATGAATGAACATGTTTGCAGAAAATGAAGACCTACACATTTCAGGCAGTATTAGATGGCAAGGGCCCCTTGAAAACATTTACTGCATCCCTGTGGAGGAAAATACGTAACTAATTGATAAATGCAGTTTGTGTCCAAAAGTCCGTGCGTCAATTTTTGTTCATCCAGCAATCCAAACTAATTTGGCTGAATCATATGTCTGCCGATAACAGCATTATTTTTTGTACCTATTTCGAAGATGGACAGGATACGACATATCACAAGAGAATCGGGGATATTACGAAATGTTAGGATGCTATCCACGTTCCACGATGAGACCTACATGACCTTCCCTGTGAATCGCTGAAGACACTGAGCAATATGGCGGCTAATCGATGTCAGTGGCGTTCCTGCTATCAGTTTCTAATCAGATTGATAGATTGAGGCTTAGGCACGCCGGATGCTTGCCAGTTGTAGATCCCCCTTCTTCCTCCACTTATTTTTTCTTTCCACTATAGGGCTTTATTCGAATAAATTGACATGCTTGCACGGCTCTCACTTGGTGTTGCTGCCAATGACAATGATGAATCGCATTTTGGTCTAGCTGTCCTTAATCACCGAATAGCTGGTTCGCTTTATCTTCGACACGTGCACTATTCATTGCACTGAAGTCTCGGCTGAATAGTTGATTCAACTTCCTGGCGTTTCGCAGCCGCTGCATCATACCGTCAGGTCTAAGTGCGCTAAATATCGGTGAAATGAACTCAATGGAAGCTTCTCGATTGTGAATAGGGCTCCAGAAATTCCCGAGAAATTTAACGAAAATTCACTGTCCTGATGGCTTACATCAGAATGAGCGAGTTCCCGGAAGTCACTGGCACTTCATTGGAGGGTAGGCCTTCCACCAAAAGAAGCATCAGTACAACCGAACACAGCTTACATAACTAGTCAGTTGATAGTGTGGTGATTAAAATCAACCTCCGAAGAAAGCATCTACTGTGGCCAGCTTAGAAAAGTGCACTGAGGGCAGAGATGGGCCCAACCGACCTCATTTCTACTGGTGGTCTGGGTGTTAACATTCTCAGCCTGGACCCATTTGCCACAACCACGGGGGTGATGAGTGTACTTTTCAAAGATTGAAGAGGGGATAATCGATCAGATTATTGGACCAAGCGGAATGCTGATATGTGAGTGCGTCCCCAATGTGCAGCTTGTAGATGGCAGTCGACTAGGCCGCTTCGAACTTCAAGAAGTCTAAGAACGGGCAAGACAGACCGCACATTTGACCAGTTACCATGCCAAAAGTCAAACAAGCGTCGCTGCGACTGCCGAAGTGAACAGGTCTTTGTTGTCCATGCTACACTGACTGAATCTACACCCGGAAGCGATATAGCCGGGGTTTTTTGCCGGGTTCTTAACATTCCTCAGACTGCCATCCGTGGATCAGGCCTCCACATCGTCAAAGGTAGCGGCTCACGCTGCTCTTTGTTGACTCCTCGCAGTGGTATATAGATAGTTGTAGATAAAACCTGATAGACACTTACTCAGTTTCAATAAGAACATCCCCTTCGGTGATGAGGATAAAAACCTATTCTGCATCTATTTTCACCATATTTCCTATTCTTCCATTGTTTCGCTTGGTATTTATCAAACCGTAGTATTTTTATGATCACCAGAACCATTTCTTCCAAGGGTGACACAAGATTCCGTAGATTGACTTATTTTTGAACCACTCTAATTGGATGATTTTTCAAATCAGTCGGCTGAACGTCAAAAGGAAAACAGAGCACAAACTCACCTTCAAATCATACGGACTGATATTTTGAACTGTAAAGTGCATGGTCTTTTTTAAACCAACGCAGACTTGTCCAAAGTCGAGACGATTTGTGATGGCAAGGGGTGACGTGATCCTGAGCGCCGGGCGAACGATTGGACACAAGAGTTCAATAAACACGGTATTTTCCACGCTGAAATGCAAGAAGGTGATCCATTGAGAAACAGAATTGTTTTGACAGAAAGGTCTGTAGGTTGTGAGTTTTCACTCATTTTTCAAATATATATTCAAATATATTATATCTTTTTATATTTGCTTAGTAAGTTTGAATCAGTTAGTATGATCTGCAGCTTTCGAATGGCTGCACAAAGTGCTTAACGTAGGCTGATCTTAGAAAACAATGGACTAGCAAAATTCGGATAGGGGCATAAAAGTAATGGCTCCGTGTGTAGAGTTGCTGAGGACAACCTCCGCTTTACTCTGGATTTGTGTTTTTCGATCTAAACAGTACTATGCTGTTCAACTCGCCTGACTCCGGGTAAGGAGTCAAGAAACTCTGAAAAATTGGCGTAGGAGTGAGAGGTAAGATGCTGTCAAAGTGTAGAAGCTCTTCGGATGGATATGGTTTTCAAACAGATTTTCGAGGCAATCTTCCTTCAGAAGACATTTGTAGCACGATAATTGCATAAGGTTGAAAATGTGATCGGCAAAAACTCTAAAAAATACGCTTAGGAGAAGAAAATGGAACTGCTCTGTGATACAATACACACTAGGTTTGTAAAAAAACACCCTTATGGGTGAATATTGGAAGCATGAGAGAGCTTTCAGGTCTTAGTGATGCCGAAAGTTGTGAAACCAAGTGTGATTCACAACCTGACATCACAGTGGAGATCGGTCCCGCGGAATTCTCTTTACATGCTGTGCGGAGAACGAACAGTGTACGATCACGATAGATATTCTTGCGACGAGAGAGAACCTTAGCATTTGCTGGGATGTCATAAATAAAGTTCGTAATATTGGTAGCTCGAGTGCATTCATTTGTAATTGGTCAGGTGACAATTGATCTCATCAGTAGACTTGCGTACGTTTCGTTACCATTTGTGGGGACGCCATCAGGGCCCCCAGTGGTAAGCGTTTTTAAGAAAGTGAGACAGGGAACATCTACTAAAATTCTGGTGAAGCAAGGGTGTTGGTGGCATGTAGATTCCAAATACATCTGGTTTCGAGGGCCAGTTTGCTCATATGTACGCCCGCCGGGATGTGTGAAGCATCAACTAAGATTTCCAGGCCACCAAAAAATAGAGATCATTGGTGACCGAATATTTTACTGCGCAGCTCCCTGTTTCGTTGCGCAGACTATTCAATCGAGTGTTCGGAGAATGTTGGAAAAAAGCCGGCACAATCTCGCTGTTTGACTCATAAACACTATGTGGTCCACAGATATTCCCACTCAGCTCACTGTTCTTAAAACAGCTCGAATAGTTCTACCTTAGTTTTGTAAATTCTTATTCAAATCTTCCAGTGATATACATTAAACGGAATCTGAAGAACTGGACTTTTTGTCAGACTCCATTAGATATGTCTGGTAGTTTAGTTGCTTCTTTGGGGACATTCAACGAACGAAGGGGGATTCACAAGGATTTCCGAATGCACAACAGTGACTTTTATCAAAAGATACCAACCAGCATGCTCGCCGCAGGATATCAGATCAACACCGCTGCAGCTTTCAAACCTTTCTATGAGGTTCCATAGAGGTTGCCAAAAGGTAGTAAACCTAGGATGTTAGGTGCTGTCGAAGAAATTGGCATACGTATTTACAGGCCTCAACTTTGTATTCACAGGCGCTTTGAACAGACATTAAGAAATCATATCTTAACCCTACGTGACTCTCAAGCATGCTGTCATACTCGACAAGCACGTTGCCTTTATCGATGATCCAGTGTTCAGGACCTCGAAAAGATCACATTTACCCACACAATTTCGTTCCCCGTGAGAACTTCGACGCTTCTTGGCTTGCACCTGAGGCGCGAAGATCTACCGACGATGTTACAGCTTTCCTGTATCGTGAAATCCGGATAGCTTCAGGTATTCAGATGGAATGTTTTTGGAGTATCCCTCGCATGAGTACCACAAAGCCATTTGCGGTATTTCACAGGAGAAAGAGTAGTGGCGTTGTTTTGTCTCCGTTTTATGCAGACGCTTTGAAGCGTGACGTTTAGTTAGATTAGATTTTGATTTAGCATGTTTTCTGATGAGAAGCACCCACTTATTCAGAAAAGATACATCAAAACCAACAAACTTATGGACACGACATGTCAACCTACAATAACCCTTGTCGATATTCTCTGAGGTTGCATCCAAATTCAAGCGAACTAAATTGCGCCGAGCTGTCTCAGCACTGTTCTAACAGATATTGCCGGGTTTCTCGCAAGTAAAATGCACGAAAAATATGCTATCTCCTTGCCAGACATGTCATGGACAGCGCTCACCGCCTGACATCGTACTTCACACCGTTCATTTGCCGCTTCCGATGGGTTGATGAGATTAAATCACTAGTAAATGACTCATTTATGATTCATTTAGACTGCCCCGATGAATAGCTGAGTTTCGAGACATGAGAACTACCCATGTTCTTCAGGGAGTCTATGAGGACACTTTCCACAACGACGAGTTAGAAGCAGGAATATCGTCATCTAAATAGACTGGTGGTTTCAAGTCAAGGGAAGACGAGGAGAAATAGTCATCCCAAGAAGTCACAACGGTACCAAACAAACTGTTGCGAAAACTTCTAACTAAGTAGAGGACATAAGGGTTTTCGTCAGGCGAAAGGCCTGATCCACACGCAAATGTGCGACCAGTGACGCATGATGTAGCATTTACGAGCTGAAACCAAGACGTTTTTAACAATATACTAAGCAGACGCAGTCTTTGAAACTCCAATGCATGCACCCTGAAAAGTGCTTCAACGGACCTGGGACAGGACAAAAGTACTTGTAAAGTAGTCCGGGAATGTAGCCGAAAAATAAATCGTTTATTGTAGAATTTATTTGTGAGCCATTTTATGACCAATGTCCTTATTCTATGTGAAGACCTTGGTGGAGATTGCTATAAAATAAGAAAAATGGTTGAGGTTTAAGTGGAGATGTTTAAAGGTGAACTTGATTGAAAATGAAGAGATTGTCATCACGATACTGGCCTGAAATTATTGAGGAACTAACGTGACGGTGTCTGGAGACATTGCCTTGCTCCGCCTCGTATTGTTGAATGTTGGTGAGAAGGGATAAACACCAGTTCTGACACTAGTTCACCGATACGTTCGAAATAAATAAAATAAACCGTTCACATGTGGTATCCTTTCGGTGTCTAGCTGCCATGCCACACGAAGGAAGCACGAGCGCTGGGATACTGCCAGGTCGCCCAAGCCTAGACAGGGGCAAGTCGAGTGGCAGAGGTCGGGTTCGAACTACGGACCTTCCGGTCAGTAAATTCGCGCTCTAACCACTTGGTCCATCTTGCCCGATCCGTTCAAGGTAATTTGTAGGTTTACTTAAGCCTCTCGTAATTTTAGTACTCATGGATTTTGAAGGAGCATTAGACTGTTGTCCGGTCTGTTCTATTCAGCACGCGTGTTCAGCAAGAAATGTTCCAGAGGTTTGTATCCTCATACATGTGGGCAGGTGAAAGTGTACAAGGAACTTTCCAAAAGTTAGCGAATATACCACCAGTAAAGTGCAGGATAAATTTAACATTGTTCGCCTTGCCGACTGTACTAACTCGTCGGTCAATGTCACACTATGAGAGTTACGTTTTCTGACCGGATGTTGACAATTAGTTCGTAGTTAGTCGCAGATCGGATGAGCAATTATCGAACGAAGGGTTCGGTTGGCCGAAGCTTATTAGTTTTACAACAGAAAGTCAAATTTTTATCTGGTCTGGTCTTTATTAACAATTTTAAATGCTCTCTACAGTTCCACTACAGTTTTAAGCTACTGTACCCCCCTAAATTTTCACAGTCAGTAGTAGTTGAAAACACTTGGTGTTTTATCCACCATAAAACCGTCCAGTTGAATGCAGTTCATTCGGGAATCACACGGTCAGCCCTAGGTCATGGTCAGTACAGGTATTCAGTGGATAGTCCATTTCTATCGATTGGACGAATGTTCTGCGGATAACACTGATCCAACTGCTGCACGGAGCTACAGAGTGCAGGATCTGTTTCGGTCATGTGTCTACTCAGCTGAGCAGTGACAACGAGACGGATGCAAGCTATTTGCCCAGCTAGAATCTAGAGGTTATCTTTCTCCCGATCAAAGAATTGGACACAGCCTGACTACTAATTCCCTTTGAGGGGTTTAGTATTGCAACCTCTCTAGTCACTACTTTTGGTCATTTGCATTAAATTCCAAGTATTGTGTCTAAATACTGGGCTTCCAGGTTTCTAGACCAAGTTAAAACTGTGTCAGGCCAGTTTATAAGTCGATTTATCACCCAAATTGAACAATACTCTCACATCTTATGTGACTTTTTCAGACAAGACTAGCATCGCTATGCCATAGCGGTCTCCACTCCTCTTAGGCTGTCAGTGAGGCGAAGACTTACCTCTTTCTAATCAGCTGTTCAACCTCTCATAGTCTTTCGAATGATCAGCTGAGCCATAAAAGATTTAATTTTAATCTCAGTAGCTAATGACGAATCAATTCTGACGGGAGGATAGTAGACCCAAGGGGACCCTATCAAAACCCCATAAGAATGAGCATGCTTCACTTACTGATAAGTAGGAGGGTTATCAGTCCAGCCCTCAAAACCTGGCCCGTCAGCAACAAAACACGCCAGTCGATAGACAGCATACGTTGCTGGCCACGTGTTCCCATCAGTTGCACACGGTGAGTTGTGGGGATCCCATTGTTCTTTTGCTGCAAGTTCGAGTTCATCTGAGGGATATCTCTGAAGCAGCGCAAGTTCGGCCTCCGTGAACTCTTTCGAGTTATTGTGGATTGATTGTGGATCGGTTGGTGGTATCTGTATGATACGAGGTGCATCGACACAAGTCGGCTTCTCTTCAACATTCTTGGTACCGGGGCGTCTTTTTCCGCTTTGAGGTGCCACTTTCTAAAAACATATTAACATAAGACAGGTTTGTGAAGCGAACTCTACAGTGTATATACGCCTATCCAAGCGATGAGCCAAGAAGTACTTTACAACTGTTTCCTTCTTATTAAGAATCATCAGCGGTGCGTATCTTACGAAACTTTAGGGGCTTCGAACTCGCGATATCCAGGCTAGTGTTTCAAAACTAACATTTTGGGCGCTGGGGGGCTGATATGCATTATAATTTAGACAAGACATAGCGTGAAATCCACATCACGTATTCACGTGCTGACTAACTCTATTCCGGTGACGACGACTCCCTAGATGGAAGTTTCACTCATCGTGCGAATTATTCCGAACTGTGTTGTCTCAAAAGACTAGACACAAAACGGCAAGTCATCCCATTCCCATTTAAGGTAGCACGTCGACAAATTGGAAAACTAACCGATAGCTTGACAACACTGCACGGCGATGGTTTATCGAGACCCACTGTGAATTCATGCAGCTAGTGCATGCTGTCCAACTATCTCGGGGTCCAAAATTATCATCCACATTTGTTTTGATCCCTATTTAGACTATCTTTCAAACCGATCAGTGAACATACTCACTGTTCTAAGTTTTGCGAACTCCAGACTTTCTTTAATTTCTTCCCTAAAAGATAAAACAGCTACGGAAGGTGTGTGGAATTGAGCTTATTTCAAGACCAATGATGATGAGAGTGGCACGACGATGGTAGCTACGGAAGTGGAATTGAGTTTATTTCAAGACCAATGATGATGAGAGTGGCACGACGATGGTACAAACTAGTGAGGATGCTCAAATGGTCGGCATATTATTACATANATATATATATATTATATATATATTATGTTACATATATTATTACATATTTGCATAACGTGTGAGCAAAGACTGACCTTCGTTTTCTTTTCTTGTCTGGCCTTCTGCAATTCCAACTCCATTTGTTGCCTCTTCTTTACTAACGTATATTCATCCTTCATTCTTGCTGCTAATTCTTTCACCTTGTGTTGATCCAACGTAGGAGAGAAATAGACTTTTATCGAACGGGTCTGAAAAGAAGTAAAGCATCGATCCTGGTTGATCATCGCTGAGAAAGCTGTGTTCACTGTGATGGTATAACAGTGTGCTTCGACTCTGTTCACATTAATCAAAATAGAAGACTAGGGAAGAATCACAGGGCTTCATTTGATGGGTTGATGGATAATCGATGGGTATAGCGAAAACGGTTACCAGACTATTCCTCGGAGTGTCACCCAAAGGTGAATGTATCCAGTTCTGCGGAGTTCTGAGGAGTCAGACGCATTTGACATAAGCCCGTAGTGGGCTTCCGTCGTTTGATCGAAATTCTGACCCTGACGCTGCGAAGGCTATACACTACTGATGAGTAGTGAGAGGTATAAAGCTCAGTTGTCTACGTTTAGCGCGGAATAAGCAGAATACCCACTCCAGCACGAAGGAATCCTGTTTACATGGGGTGAGGTGGCTAAGAACAATTAAGAGTGTCACCGTCCGCTCAAGAACAAGCGAATTACAGAGTGCAGTTACTCAGTGACCTTACGTGATATGACGCCGCATTCTCTATGGTCTCAACTAACAAATGTTACAAACTTGGTCACTGAAGAGATGCGATGAAATGATCACTTTTTTATTTATTCTCTCAAGCTTCCCGTTATGTGTGGTTACGAGTAAGGACAAAGTCGTACAATGTAGGACACTTTTGGACTGAGGTTGAACTCGAATCCACCAATTCAACTTAGCATTTTTCTCAAACCAAAACAAAACCGGTACCTCCGTGGTCGATTAAAAATGCTATCGGTTTATACGGATTTGGTCCGCTAAAGAAAATAGATATCCTCAAATATCTACCTCGTCGGTAGCCAGAAAAAAATTGTTCAACTGTAACGCCCTTCCGGCGCCTAGCTCTCGTGCCAACCGAAGGAAGCACGGGGGCTGGGATACTACCAGGTTGCCCAAAACTAGAGAGAAGTCGAGATACAGGGGTTGGGTTCGAGCCCTCCGGTCAATAAATTCGCGCTCTTAATAGTTGAGCCATCTTGCGCACTCGGTAGTCAAAATATGTCAAGTTGTCCTGCTGTGGTATTCACTGGGTGTTTAGATTTTTTGAACGTTTCCTGCAGGGACAAGCAATTCACATTCGTTTTGTGATGGAATCACGGCCGAGTGACTTTCTTTTCACAGTCAGATGCAAATATCAGCAGAAATACTGGAGAAAAGTTAGGAAATCCACCCATGTTCGAAGGAGGTATTGTTCGTTGAAACAAGTGCGTCCGATAAAGGCCGCACATAAACGCTCATCTTACTGCTACCATCATGCGATATATTAGATGCTCCTGCAATGTAAATTCTAGCATTGATTTGAGATTTGAAGAAAGTGATTTACTCCCGTGAAACGAAACATTCGTCAAATAAATTTGTTCAGTGGTTTGTAAACTATGCCTTGTAAGAAGGAGAGGCGATTTTGACCTAATGATGCGGCATAGGGCAAAGCAGACACATACCTGGTTGGGCTCCAGCGTATCCGACCTGGGAAGTACCGTGAGAAACTCTGATCCCAGGGGTCCTTCTTTTTCATCCTGCGCATGTTTTGCAATGAGTTCCTCGCTCCAGTGTGCTTTTGGGTGGGAAAAACCTGAGTCGATGATTTCGCACTGAAAAGCTGTGGATTTAGTCATCCTGAGGGTTCCATCTGGTCCGACTGTTTGCCGAGGGTTTGAAATAGTTAACTGTGCACAACTTGTCTCTCCCAAAGGAGTAGGTTCGAAGACGAGTTTGTGTGCGGAAAGCGTGACAGGAGATTTCACACACGTTGCAACGCAGTCAATGGTGAATGTTCTAATATTGCAGATGTGGAAAAAAAGAAACAAGCAGCACACCGTTTTCACCACGTTGTCAGGCAAACCATATTGGCCTTCATGAAAGTGAAAACAATTGTCTCGATGAACTAAGTTATGGGTGGTCAGCACTGAGGATTAAACAGAAGAGAGGCTCCAAGGGTTGTCCTGGTTTTGACAACTTTCAGTTCAGTCAGATAAACGGAGTTCCCTTGGTCAGTTGTGTTACAACTAAGACAAATTGCCTTTTTTTATTAAATTAAGTTGACTACTCATGAGTAGCCGGAAGTTGAGATTTTCACGCTGAGGCAGTCTACATCCTCACAAATGCAATAGCTTTTCCGGGCTTCAACATACGCAATGGGAATTTGTTAATTCGACATTTTATCGGTTTTTACATGATGCATCTTACTACCTGCCGCTTTGTAAACATGATTTGCGTGAAAACCCCGCAGTTTTTGGCAGTTTTACCTGGCAGTTTATGAAGGATCGAACTTTGAGTTCGGAGATGTGCGGAGGCGTGCTTACTTAATAATAGTGATATAACAAATTAATAGAGGATTTACGAGGAATCTGGTGCGTACCGGAATGAAACTGGTCATAGAAGGTTTGCCGATGGTCGCGTCGTTGTACGGTTCTTTTGTAGGAGATTGGTTGAGGGAATTTGCGCTTTTTGTGCTGAATTTGGTAACTCCAGGCTTAGCACTATCCAATTCACAAAAAACTGGGAATTTGCGCTCTCTTATGCTAATTCTGAACACATCCCATTTAATTTCAACCCCGTGGAATAAGAAGGGAGGGGGACAGTTAGGTCTGGTTCTAAAACTATCTGCATGCCCAAATGTCGGCCCACAACCACCTTAGATATGAAAAGTTAGGCAACACGATGCGTGCGAAGGAACGTTTATTGCTCTCCAACACTCTGGTTATACATCTTAGGCAATCGTACGTGGCCAGCTTATGAGAGCCAACAATTAGGTAGATATGATTAACGACCCTCACTTGATCACCTTTATCACCATTGCAGTCCAATGTATAACTTAAACAGCATATGCACTCATAGAGTTTTTAACAAAGTTCTCTAGCTGGATCAAGACATCGCTTGTGTATTTGTTGTTCCATCAACTACGGAATTCGCAGCATTTTTCACTGTACTTATCGGGGTGAGGCACAGTTGAAATCAGAGTTCCCGCTGCATTGGAACGCTGATTTCTCAGCAGCTAAGTTCCAAAGCTGTGTGGATGATAGTTTTGCCTTCAGCTGGTATGTATAAATGTTATACTGACTTTTAGGATCGTAATATTGCATAGAAAAATGGGCAAAAACACTATTTTCCTTCATTTTCATTCGGTTTTTCTGTTACTAATGCTGACGGCGCATAACAAATAGGACATTTCTGTGGTAAGTCTGAATTCTGACCCCATACAGTGCAATAAGAAATTCTCTTAATTATCAACATTGTTTTTTAAGTTATATTGTACCTACAATATGTGACCAGAAATGCGTGTGAATTGAAATTCGGGCTTTCCTGGCCGCATTAGGTATGTCGTACTCATTGATCTTGCTGTCTTGTTTCTTGCTCATGATTCTTTAGACGCGGCTACCACCTACGTCACGCGTCGAGCTTACATCAAGTTGTATTCATGTTTGTACAATTATCAAACACGAATGGATACCCCTTCACACTTCACACACAACCGAGCTTCACAAGTCTCCACGGACAACTACTGAACACGCTTAAAAGCTGTACTGCAGAGAAGGCATATCCGGCGTCCAGAACTTGACTGAGGAACGCTCAACAAGTGTCCCCAAAGGAGAAGTAACTTTTGGCTTATTCTCTTCTTGCACTGTATTTATGTTTATCAAGTGCACCTAACTGTTACCACCATCATCATCATTCCGGTGAAACAGACATTTGTTAGTGCTTGTTACCTGGTAATCAATTTAATTAGGTGACTATGTTTACTCCAGAGCACCAAAATGACCTTGGGTGGATCAGTTTATCGTTTGAGCGCACTTATTTCAAACCTATCCCTAAGCTGTTCTGAGAACTCCTCCACTGATCTTTATTTGTTGCAACGCTGTACCAAACTGTTCGTTATTCACAAAACCTTTTACAGATGTACTAATCCAGGATTTCAAACTCTTGGAAATTTTCATTTTGGTATGTCAGAACATAAACAACAAAGGTGATCACATGGTCAGTATAGTGCACAGTCGGAAAAATCTCCCTGAGTTGTCTATGGTGTTTTTGTGACGTCATCTAGGCGTCTCTATCCACAATTACTGCCATCAGGCGCCAGACGACAAACAGATTGATAGGGTGACACCCCACCGGGAATTCAAAAGCGTAGATCAGAGAGGTAACACTTTCATCCATTCCAGAAGGTCAATCTTAGCCTTTGGTATGAAATCCACGTAAGTAAGTAGTCTTTATTTTTGCCACAGACGGATGGAAAGTGTGGGAGAATGGGCCCTGTGCTGTCTTTTTGTCCAGGGTCAAAGGTTGTGGAAACAACACAACTCCACGTTCATCTGTAAACCCTAAATGCGCATTCGGTTGGTAGGTTGAAGGGAACTAAATTTCGGCATCTGTCCAAACAGTGGCATTTTGGAACTTTGTTTTACGTAATCCTTGATTACCTGCCAATTCCACTTTTGCACGTTATTCGAAACTTGAATTCTTTGACTCTGTCGGGAGTAAAGAGTAATTCGAGTTCGATGGTTTGTTCTGGAAGAATTGTTCCAAAGCCATTGTTGGGCTGAACATCGACGTACTTGGGGGTGGAAAGAAGGAGAGACAGATATGTCTTTATCTGATGTTTTGGCCGAAGGCATCTTTATAGATGAGATAGAACAAGCACAAACAGGGTGTTACGATTTATATCGAGAAATGGTTTTCAATTCGCTGGTCAAATCAGAACTTTTCACAGGTATAGCCAAGAATTTTGAGGTGAATGTGACTGTTATCAGTGTCCACGTAAATCTTATGCTACCGCAATTAGGGGTTTCACTGCGGTTTTTCTTGACAAACCAAATGGAATACATGAATATATGAAGGCACTCAAATTCGGGACGATTTATGAAAAAAAGGCAGATTGCAGATGACACTGAGTAAAGCCATGTGTCTGGTTTTACTGACAGACTCGATTAGTTAGAAGTAACGTTTTCTACATTACGGACTTTTTCACGAAATGAATAAGCCAAGCTGCGAAGTTCTGGAACAGATTAAAGTGTGACAATTAAATCGCTTCTCCGGATACAGAACCATTGGTTTTTCTCACAGCATGACTGACCAAGAAAGAACCGTTTCCCTCCAGATTTGTGTCACAGTACCCCATGTTATGTGTATTTGGAAAAATAATTTATTTATCGTTTATATATTTTTATACAAGTTTATAAAACTAGTATGGTGGTAGTGAAATGTTGTTGCATAATTTTATCACCTATATTAGAGTGGATGTGACTTTTGAGAACCGGTGGATACTGCATTGTCGAGTATTGCTCCGCCACTTCAATCTGCATGGCGTAAAGTTGTAGGACCGTAGAGTCAACCAAGATCCTTCTGAGCCAAAACAAACTGAGTGAGCTAGTTTGATCAGCAACGGCCAGTTGATTTGGTGGAAGGTTCATTCGCAACGTCGTCTAACGTGTATGTGTTTCCAGTAGTTGCGAAGACCACTGGAACTAAGCTATTCCTCCTGGACATGAGCTTTCCTGGTGTATTAAAAGACCACACCTTAAAATTCCATTGCAGTTTACAGTAAGTCAGAAAAACACCTAAGTAATGACACGGGTGTATTGTGTACACGCGGCCAACTGATCCGCTTTCGTGGCGGGTAAGCCAACAACTGAGTCACATATCCAGTCAACCCACAACGCCCCCGCGAGCAAATAGATCGGACACTCATCCAATCAGCCACTCCAGTCACACGCCAGATCGATAGTAGAACGACGAGCGGAGACACACGCGCAAACTCTCCGACATACCGAAACGGCTACTACAAACTCACTTATTGATGTTTACTAAATTATTTCGTATTCTTCGTAAATCTCCTTTCGATAGATACACTGATTTACATATCAACTGGGTTTACACGGGAGACTCAACGGAATCCCTCGTTTTAGATATTCTTCAACTGAATATGCTGCACAAATGCCGCCTCATGCTTCAGTTGATACAATGTTCGACGTGTCGCAGTATATTTTCATGAAGGAAACTGCTCAGAAGAGTCTTCTGCAACCTTGTGACCTCCTTTGTGACCCTCCTTTCTTTTCCAATCCTTCCATGAGAATAAAGTAGCATTTTTTTCAGTCAGTGGGCCTCTAATGGAATTCAATATGATCCTCGATGACACACCAAAACCACTTTATCGATCGTAGTAAGGGGCTTCTACGACCAAGAGATGCAGCCCGCACGCGATTGACCAGAAAATCGGGTCGCTTGCTGGTTCAGCATTGGGGCAAGATCTGATTGGCTGAAAGTTTTGACCCAACAGTCAATCATGATTCAGTATCCACTGAAAGCCGGATGCTAATGGCGTTTCTAGGCGTCCGAATCTTCGGAATGTTGCCTCCCCTCTAAATACGATGCGCTGTATATGTGTTGTTGACCTGGTTTCAGTTCTTTTAGCGAAAATGCTAGCTCGGAAGGTTCTGACCGAGACTTCACACATGGACTGCCGAAAGAGATCATACACAGAAGGCGTGGGACTATAGATGAATTTCGTTTTGTTTTGATCCTAGAGGAACTTTTTTATAAGAGGTCTTCCTACAATCCTGCCATTACCGTTTGTTCTAGCGACAAGCTTGGTTTTGAAGTCTCCTTATAACGGCCAGCAAAGTTCCAATCATGGTTCAAGTTCATTCAACTTTCAAGAGCATATTACTGCCGCAATCGGTCTCGATATACGGATATTAAACTATGAAAATATAGGAAACAGGACGCAGTACCACAAGGATAACGGTGGCGGCTTGCATTCACCAAAAAAGGTTACTATGTGGATGGGAGATATTCAAGTGGGTATGAATAAATACACTTGATTGTTTGCTGGACGTATCAGATCACTAGCGAGGGAACCGGGAAGAATTTTCTTGCCGACAGATGTTAGCTATTCCTCAGTTAAAATGATATCTGTCTATAAAGAAAACTACTCACAGGGTTGCTGAAAACTCTTCGACAGCCCACGACCGGTTTCACCCTTCTTAGGGCTCATCAGGTAGGCGCAGTCCCCGAGTTTCCGTCAACTTTATGTTCTACTTAAACCCAAATTGGACTGGTTTCGAGAAATACACTCAGTTGCAAATCAATTTGGTTTTCACGAGAGACCCAACTGAATCTTTTGTTCATGGTATTCTACAACTGAATGTGCTGCACACAGGCTGCCTCATGATTCAGTTGTCACGATATTCGAGATTTCGCAGTATATTTTCATAAGGAAAACTTCTCACAAGGTTGCTGATCTCTTGAAGACAAATTGATTTGCAACTGAGTGTATTTCTCGATATCTGTCTACTCTTGAATCTGTAAATGCCTATGCCCGTCTGTTGGCGAATATTCCTAAATAAACGTGAGATGAAGAACCCAATTCATGTGTAATTTCTGATGGCTTTGATCAGATACTTGTTTAACTTACTTGTGGCAAACTGACTATGGCGAATTCTTGCGGCAGCAAGCCTGGGTTCGTGATGGAAAATCTAGTGACTGCCGTCTCACCGAGTCCGACGGTCCCAAGATCGATTGCATCCGGTGTCAGTTCAAGGTCAGATGTCGTCACAACCGCAGACACCACAAGTTTCAACACATTTGTCTGTCCAGTCACACTAACTATTACTGGTACCTGAAGAACTCCTGTGTCTGGATCAAACTGTGGTGATAAGTCAGTTTGATCATTCATTTCTCCCAGATGCGAGTCTCTCCCACTTGTTAGTTCTTCTAGATCAGATGACAGCGATTGTCGTGGAAGGAATTTCACCTGAGCCATTAGACGACCATGAGCCTTTTGTATGTAGGAAAGGGGAAATTGCGTGTCCGTGTTGAAAAACGTATTTCTTGGGGAGTGTTGACAATTTAGGCAAGAGCGAGAGATATGGTATTAGCACCAGTGAATAGTGCCTTTAAAAAGCAGGTAATGTTTGTCTCCGATAATGGTGCACAAAGGTCTACCTCTTGGTCGCTTTCTTGGATGCAGACTGGCATTCACACACTTGACTTGGTTACGTCAACAATACATTTCGGTCAGATATCAGCTGATTGACGCAACATTTCGATGATCTTGATTCCGGAGCCAAACTAGAAAACTACGTAGCCTAGATTGGGTTAGGAACTGGGGTGTACGGTTGTGAATATGCACTAGCGAACGGTGAAACACTATTGTGAAGTCAGATTGAAAGGGTGGCATGAATAGGACAAAATAGAAAAAAAATCATCCCTCGGCTGTAAATTTCTTTCGACTGCTTGCTGCCATGTTAGCCGAAGTTAGTGGGAGGGCCGAGTTACTTTCAGGTTTCTGTGGCCCAGGCAGGAGAAGTCCAGATGTAGAGGCTCAGACTGCTGGCCAGCTACAACAGAACACCGGGAAGGGTGTCGTTTTTGAAATAAATTGTCTGTACCGCAGTGAATCGCAAGTGTTGAACACTGATGATAAATTGCTGCATAAATCCAGCACTGTCAATGAGCTGTGAAGTGGGGGATTGGAGGGTTGGGAAGGGAGCTATGCATTGAAGGCAATACCTTGGATGCAGGACAGGGCCATGTCTGACAATGTCTCTAGCCATTGATGTGGACCGTCTCGGGGTCCCCATCCAGCAATATGGCAATGACCTGCGCAGCTGAGTTCGCTGGTAATGACTTTCACACTACGCTGACCACCTCTGGCTGTCTTCCACCCTTCACATGATTGTGCGAAAAGAGCCCTTCGAGGAAGTCGGTCGACTGGCATAAACAGCACGTGGCGAAGCCAGCGCAACCTATGCAGTGTGATCAGTTCATCTATCGAGGGTGAGCTATTCCTCCCGCCTGCAATGCGTAGCTACCTACGTCCCCCCAAATCATCGGTGAAAGAAACTGCGGCAGCTACAACCATTGTACGACGAGTACGCGGTTATTTCGGCTGACAATGATGATGATGATGTTGAACCCTGATATGCTGTCGGCGTTAATGTTGGCTATGGGACATTCGAGGTGAAAATAGTGTCGCACGCTCGCAAAAAAATTTAAAGTGCTCGCAACTTTAAGAGTCTGTTTTACTAATTCTCTCCAGAGATACAATCGACCAAAAGAGAACTATTTGAAAAGTTTAGCTCATAGGATTTCTGCGGACGAGGATGACCATATATATCAAGAACAGAGGTAGGAAGTTCTAAATCACTCGACTAGTCGTCATTTTAAAATCAAGTAGAAATGCAGTGTGGGCGTTAGAAATGCGGACAACGAACTACTGAAACGAAACTACCGATGATAAGTTCTCCAAACTGGTGTAAAGGATTTGTTTTACAATGGATTGGATGTTTACTAATCTCGGTTGGCATCGGAAATTCGACCGATGTACGCCAACCCTCGACCACTTCGTGTTTCTCAGGAGAGACTCAGATGCAATTCACTAAGGTACATGCTCTTTAGCTGAACAAGAGCTGGCCTCATTTCTGGAAGGTCATACTGCTGGTGCACCCAATTCGAAATTCCGGCAGCTATTTGAAACCCTTAAGAACATGTTGGAGGTGGAGATCATCCGGGACTCCAAAAACGCCGAGGTTCTGGCTGCATTAATACACTGATCTTGAAGTGACTGACACGGAACAGCGCATGCACGAGTACATTGTGGTAAAATCGCTCCACCACACACCATCATATGGTGGGTCAGTGATTTGATTTCCTTATTACAATCGAATTGACTCATACTATCAGACTATTTCACTGTTTTTCTCAAATAATGATGGACCATAATTTCGCGTTGGCCAATGGCGGAAATACCGGAAGGAGTGAAGGTGGACTTAAAACTTTACCTCAAGGTGCGCAATAGTTTGGGTACCTGTGGCTCCACAGATCTGCTATCGATTAAAGGCGATCAGCTCACATGCTGGTTGATTGCAGTCGGCTTGGCATCACACAGGAACGAAAGAAAAATATGGTTCCACTATGTACCTCCATAGTGAGTCAAGTGGCACAAATGTGTACCTTAGAGCACAAAATTTCGTACACTGTACACGCACGTGAGCGAAATTAAAGTGCACCTCATAGACTAAACGAACTTGACTTAGGTGCACTTCGAACCACTTCTATAGACAATTATTAGGCAAACATAATCAAAAAAATCTTAATCGCTTCCCTTCCCCACACCTGGAGGACTCAAGCAGCGCTTCGGTGTTATTAGTCTCTGGAAGCTGTCAGGGACATCTGATTTCTGTAATGAGACAGGCTGCCCTTGCCCCAAACAGTTCAGCCATGAGGCTTTGAACTGATGAGTCAATTGACTTTACCCGGCTTCTTTTTTATTTACACTTGAATCAAGACAAATTAGTTCGTCAATGTCCACTTGACATCAAAATTATGCATTCGAACCTAAGCTGGAAAATGGCGACCCAAAGTTCCCATCACTCTGACTTGAAGCACCTGTTTCGAAATGATTGCACGGATGACGAATTTATTGAAATTAAGCCTTTTCTTTCCTTTTCACTTTGTTCTGCGCATATGAATGACAGTAAGGTGGCCCATCACATCAAATGAAGCCACTCAATAGGTAATGCAATATGCAACTCGTGCTGAGCCACATATGCGTCCTCGTATAAACCCGAGGGAATAAGACCGAAGGGCAAGCAGGAACCGGATTGCTGATATCTAGACTCCAACAAAAACTTGGCCACAACGTTCTCGGGAGGCGCATCAACAAACCTGGACGGCTCCCATATTCGGTAAAATTTCCAGATGTTTTTCGATCCGTGCGTCCATTTTCACCGTAACCTTGAGCGCACTATTTGTTCGATTGTTAATGGAGAAACTATCCTGATAAAGGCGATCAAACCAGCATATTCCCAGCAAGATGTGAGTGGTTGAAAGCCACGTGGGCAGATCTTTTGGAGTTCCTTGAGCACAGATTTGAACTGGTTCAACACTAGCTTCTTCAAAGTGAATCACGAACCGGGCGAACTCTGTCTCTCCGAGTAACCATTCACTACCTTCATTTGTGGGGATCAGCGTGCTAGGGCGCCATATGATCTCCAACTTTGTACTGCTATATGCTTCCAGGAATCCTTCCGTTGGTTCACCACACTGGAACTCCTGTGGATAGTCGGTGTGTAACTCAAGATCATCGATTGCTTGTCCTTCGACCGAAGCTTCTTGTTCGTCAGCTAGATTTTGAAATGGGAGGGAATAGAAATCCATGCGGTTGTCGGACTCTTGAGTGGTGAGAAACAATGAAGTGTACCATCAACACGTGTATAGCATTAAAAGAATACCGCTTCAGACGACTCACAAAGATACTGAACATTTTTGATCCCTACTGTAGTTCACAGTGGGTCAGGAAAACACGTAAGTAATGACACGGGTGTATTGTGTACACACGGTCAACTCGGTCCGCTTTCGTGGCGGGTAAGCAAACAACTGAGTCACATACCGCTTTCGTGGCGGGGAAGCAAACAACTGAGTCACATACCCAGTCAACCCACAACCCAGTTACGTGAGCAAATCGATCGGACACGCACCCAATCAGCCACTCAAGTCACACGCCAGATCAATAGTAGAACGACGAACGGACAACACACACACGCGTACTCTCTCTGACACACCGAAGCAGCTACTACAATCCCAGTTAGATACAAACACCTGATGCAGTTAAATCAGTAGCATCTTAGGCGCATACTTTCGCGGCGTGAGCCGGAGGATCCACCATTTTTCAGAATGAAAAATGAAGCAACCTGTAATTAGGGGATCCAAAAGCTTGGACCCAAAGACATCCAGAGGAGTATACCTGAAAAACGATTATTAAAGCGACTTTACAGATTTAACCGTATCCTGGATACGTGATCTCCTTCATACTCATCTGTCAAGTCAAGGGTTGGACACCTCTCTGTTTATGCCACTCTGAATTAGGCATGGAAAACAGCACTCTCTCCGGCAAGCGATGGTGCGGCATACGCAAAACATGTCCCAACCAACGCAGCTTCTGGCGCTGAACATATTCTTCAATGGAGTTACCCGTCACACAACGGGAAACGCGCTTTCTAACTGCCTCATTACGGATTCACCGATGCCAACCCACACGAGCTAGGGTTCTGAGACAACGATTGTCGAACACCTGAAGACATCTCTGTTCCGTTGATCGAATAGGCCAAATCTCACAACCATACAACAAAGCAACCCGTACCGTAGCTTGATACGCACTTCCCTTGAGATTCAGGGATAAACCACTCTGACGCCATAGGTGTCTCAAATTAGCGGCTGAACCCCTGCTCATCCTGGACAGAATAATCTGGATACTGGGAAGTCTTGTTCACCCTCAACACTAAAATGAATCGTCTCTAGTACAGATGAGAAACTTCCGCCCCATCCAGATAAACTGGAGTAAGAACAAAACCCATCCACCTTGTTTTTAGAAAGTAACCGGAATTAAAGTAAAAAAATGTTGGTTCTTAAAGCACAGAAAAAACACTATCCAAACGTTTCTGAGAAAGTACAATAAATTGTTGCTGGAGCCATCAAAAAGTTGACTCACTTTCTGCAAGCTGTTCAATGTTTTCAGTTCCAACTTCCGTTGTTTGTTCCTGAAAGGGTGATCGAAAATGAACAAATGTTGAGCATTCTTGTTCGGAGCGAATATTACGCGGAAGCATTGGTGCTTTTGAGTTCCGAGATAATTCGGCCTCAAAACAGCCATATATGGGTCTTATCACATTACGGAGAAACCAGCATTCAGACAACAGAGGTTTGTGGCACGAAAAATGAATCCTGTTTCGAAACAGAGTCCACGCTGAATAATGTTCAATTAAAGTGTAAATCAGAAAAACCGTAACCCGTGGTAGACCCATAAGTCGTTATGTATGGATGAAACCTTTCGGGGATTTCATTTTGATTCTTCATGGGCGTGTTTGGTTTACACTTGAACAAATCATGAAAGTAATTTGCACGATCTGGTTGACTTGAGGAAAGGGACAGAGTCTACCGATAGTTTGACTAGACTTCTAACGTCAGCAATGCTTGGATCAGTCCATTTTCACTAGCAAAATTGTATGATTTCACCGATAATCACAACAAGAAAATTCAATGCGGACCGATGTTAACTAGTCTGGCGTATTAGCTGTGTAGCCCATTATCAAGGCCAGTAAGCGGAACGGTCTTCGGCTGACAGAGGTTTGGCAGTTCAGCAATATACCCACCATGGTCTGACAATAACAAGTGACTTTCACTGGAGACAGTGATATCCTTATGATGGAACAACATGTGAACTAGGGAAAACAGCATTAGTTTAGGGAAAAAAGTCAAGTTAATTGAATTTCAACCGTCATGGAATCAGAAACTTGAATCTCTCCGAATACCGACTGTTTCTCTTAAATGGTCCTCTCGACCGTGGACAGAAAAGCCTATAAACCTACATCGCACTGAATTTGCTCCCCTTCTGAGTTGTGCACGGGTTCATTTCTGTTCAATCCCAAATCACGAGTCTTGTCAACGGTAAATTGATGGCCACTCTCGATGGCAAACTTGAAATGAACACCTTTTCCGCCGGTGTTCCGCACAATGACTGATCTCCTTTCAGTTTCACCAATCACCACCTGTCCAAAATCTACAATATGGCTGTCAACAGCGATCTGGAACAGATGAATGAAAGAGGATTTGTGATTTGTCAGAATCTGGTCCAACCAACTTTCTTGGAATCAAGATCAATACTTCTCGTAAAGTGCTGTCAACTCATGCAACGTCTGTAGTAGAAGCGAAAAATAAATTCTGAGCGGAGGTCCCTATTCTGACAGAACAGGTGAAATCTATTGAGTCAAGCTAGGAACTAGTCACAGATTGTTATCACTATGTGACTAAAAGAAGCGATTCAGCTTCGATATACCTCATTCCTTTTGCTGATATGTTCAAGTGTTCCAGATCTTTTCGCCCAAAAGGGAAAGTACGGAAAAGGTATACTGTTGTCCAGGAGGAAATATTTGGTTACAGTTTTAGGTTAGTACACTAAAGTGCGTTAACATTCTCACTTTGTACAGTATGGGATCAAGAGAGGTTTTCCAGGGTGCATTATGATATACGGATGAGAAAATTTGGGACACAAGACCGTA